TAACAAGTTTTTGAGATGTTTGAAACTATATATAGTTGTTGAGTTTGAATAGAAAATGTGGGGGTATTGTTGGAGTTTATTTGCATAAATAACAAAGTATTATTTATGTAAATATCGTTAAAGGTTATTTACATAAACAAACCTATACTTACGAGAACTCCAAAAGCACTCCTTTGCCAAAGGTGTCGATTAAAGAAGACACATATATGATCGCTTGTGAAAAGCACCGACTGAGAAACACATTGCTTCCGATTGAATCAAGCATCCCTTGACTCAATATATATTGATGTCACGACGTATTTGGAGGATAGAACAAAAGCGATTCCTCTCTTCTTCTTCTCCCTAATCAAAGTTCTGAGAAAAACAGAGTATAGTTTGCTAGGATCTCCTGACGGTGTATAAAATGGAGATCGATAGTTGTATCCTACAAGATAGACGTTCACGCAACTACTTACACCATAGTAGGGACGAAATTCTGTCTTAGGAGAGCAAGCCTCTATCAATCTACGATCCATTCAAACAAGCAAGAGGAAGAAGAAATCATCAAGTTAATTAGTTTCTGAGTTTTGTATAAAAAGAATTTCGTATTTCTGATATCTATTCAAGGAAGTTAACGTATTTGTATACGTTTGATGATTTGTATCTATAATTTCGAACAACAATAGTGATGCCTCAGGACAAGAGCTTCCACAAATCGGCTATTACCTTTGGTGTAGATAAGGATCCAATCAAGAGACGATTGAAGTGTTACCAAAGTGTTTTAGTGGCTCTAAACCAAAACTATTTATTTTTATTAGTGGTTGGATAGTTTGCCAAAATGTTTTCTCTTGTGAAAAAATAAATAAGGTCTTCCCTAAGTCCATTGCCATGGCTATTTCGGTATATGTTATATATTTGTTTCGGATTATCGAAATATCAATGCCAACAAATCACAAGTGTTTTGTTCAATTAAATTTGGTTCTGTTTCGGGTCGGTTTCTAGTTTCCGGGTATTTTGCCCACCATTAGTTTGAATTGCCAATTAGTGTGTTAAAAATCGCTAATCGTACAAGTTTGGCAAACTCTCACGACCCTAATTCCTTAATCCAAACTTATGGCCCATTGTCTATTTTTCAAATAGGCCAGAAGTCAAAATCTGTTTGTGGCCCATTTCCAAATCAAAGTGTCATTATTATAGAGTAGAGGAGAGTATCGTCAGATCGTGACGCCGTTCTTGACTCGTGGATTGTCGTCGTTGCTTAAACCGCTTCCTTTGACTTTGATTACATTTTCTGGGCTCCGGCGAAGATGGAGTCATCGTCGATGTCGCAGAAGTTCACTCTTGCCTATGCTTCTCTCCTCGGAGGTATTGCTTCCTTCTTCACTTCTCAAATTGTTTCTGTGACTTGATCCAGTTAACCCTGCGTACGATTAGGTTTTTAGTTTTGATTATACCTTGACTGCTTCTTTCCAAAATGTGCAGAGCTATTTGCCGATGACTTTTCATGTAAAAATCTGCCATAAGTACAGTTGAAGTTTCCTTTTTTTTGTTTTTCCTCCCTTCAAATGATTTATTCGTTTTGATCACTATCGATACTCTGATTGAAGCACATATATATGTACA